ACCATATCTGCACAGTGCTCAACGGCCTTACAACTCATAGTTCCTCAAGATATCTGGGATTACCCTTTGGGATTGGCAGATCCAAAAGGGAATCATTTGACTTTGTGATTGAAGAAGTTAAGCAAATACTGAGTAGCTGGAAGAACAAATTCCTCTCCACTGCAGGGAAGGAAATACTTGTAAAAGTTGTCATCAATGCCCTCCTTGTATTTGCCATGTCATGCTTCAGGTTTACAACTGCTATTTGCCAGGAAATTGCTAGGTTGACAGCTCAGTTTTGGTGGAATAAGGGAGGTGATAATGAAAAGAGCATTCACTGGAAAAGCTGGAATCTCATGTCTCTACCTAAGACTCATGGAGGATTGGGTTTCCAAGATATTAGGCTTTTCAATGAGGCCTTAATCTTGAAACAACTGTGGAGAATAACTACAAAACGAGAGCTGCTTGTCTCTAGGATTCTGAAATGCAAATACTTCCCCAACACCACCATATTTGAAGCTTAAAGGAAAGATTCCTCCTCCTGATATGGTGTAATTGGCTCCAAGTTCTCTCAGTCTTCAGAATAAATTGCTGGAAAGTGATCAAAAATAGGAAAAGCACCAAAATTGCAGAAGGAGGATGGGTTCCTGCACTACATGGCAGGCCTTCTATCATCCAAAACCAATAAGGGACACCAACAATTTGGGTCTCTGAACTGATTGTAGATAATGGAAGAAACTAGAATGAAATGTAAATAAGCTACTGGTTCTCTGATCCTGATAAAGCAGCCATCATGGAGATTAAATCTATGGAGGCAGGTAAAGAAGATAGATGGAAGTGGACTCCTGGTAGCAAAGGAACTTTTTCTGTTGCTGATTCCTACAAAATGTTGGTTGCTGGTAAAATCAACAAGTTAGATATAGCAGAAGGCAGTAAAACTATGCTTGTTGTCCACAAGGTGAGAGATAGAAGCTGGTCTTTAAAGGTGAAGGGAAAAATCAGACATTTTGTTTGGAGATGCTTCAGTGGGATTTTACCAGTCAACATGAATCTTAGAAGAAGAGGGATGGAGGTAGATATTATTTGTCAGATGTGTGGGGAAACCTGAGACCATATAGCACCTCTTCCTCAACTGCAACAAGGCAAAATTAGTATGGAAGCTAGCTCCTTTGTCCTGGGATGGAAAGATCATGGAAAACTCCAACTTCAAGGAGTGGTGGTGGTAGGTTTGTACAATTAGCAAAACTGAAACATCCGAAGCCAGAATTCAATTGTCAACTTACATCATATGGTGGCTTTGGTGATCTAGAAACTTGTGGGTCTTCCAAAAGGAGAGATTACCTGAAACTGTCATCACCAATAGAGCAATGGTGGAATGGCAGGAACTCTGCACATTGAAGAAGAAGATTTGGGACCCAGGAGACTGCCATTGATGGTCTGTATCATTGTGCTAGCTCTGTTTCTGGCTTTATGCTCTAGTTGCTTGTTTTTTGGTGTCCTTTTATTTTCTTTGTGTGCTAGGTTGTCTTTTTGGTGTCCTTTTATCATTGTGCTAGCTCTGTTTCTGGCTTTGTTAGTTTTGGTTGCTTTGTTAGTTTGTTTTCTGGTTGTGGTAGCTGGTTGTCTTTGTTTAGTTTGCATTGGGTGGGTTTTGTCTAGGTTGTTTTGAGGTGCTATCAAGGGTCGGGTGTTTGCACCTGCTTGATACCTCGGGTGGTTTGTTTGTAGTCCATTGTTGCAGTGGGACTCCCAATTGCTTTTCTACCCGTTTGGTAGGCTCGGAGGTGTAATCTTGTACTCTTTGATTTAGTTATGAGAATATCCTATCGTTTGAAAAAAAAAAACTTTCAGTATATAACACTAACAAGGTGTTTTTGCAAAAAAAATAAAAATAAAAACAAAAATAAATTTACTTTAATAAATGACATGAATTAGGTGTTATTGCCTTCATTTATATGACATGAACTTATTTACTTGATTAAAAATTCTTTTTATTTTGTTATTACTTATGTTTTTATTTTAAATCACTTTAATAAATATATAAATATTAATTATTCTTATTTCTTAAATAAATATAAGTTCAACATAAATAAGAATGATAAAATATGTTGATGTCATTATAAGTAATTTTACATGTTAATAGCTAATTGAAAAATCTCATTTTACCAAACACTCTTATACAATCGACTAACACAATCAGCTTGTCAAAACAGCTAATGCAATTTGCTGGTCAAAACCGCTAATATAAACAACTAACAGCTAACCACTGATTAGCAAACAAAACCTTAAAAATCATTAGAAATCTCAAACCAACACCCCCTAAATTGTGTGCAAATACAAATTGATTGATTTTGTAAAAGTTTAGAGCGCCAACAATTAATCGAGCTAGTTGACAAATAATCATTATTATTATTACTAGTACAGATCCCGTGCGATGCACGAGGTGCACAAAATTAAGGCCATTTATCAAGTCTTATAATTATATAAATGAATAAATAAAAATGTACGGGATATATATAGTACATGACCTGTAATAGGCCAAAATGTGAACACAGGTGATGCACGGGGTGCACAATTTTAAGGTCATTTATTAGTACAGAGTCCGTGCGATGCACGGGGTGCACAATTTTCTAGTATGTGTAATACAAATACATACCGTATGCACGGGACAGAAGCACTAAATGAGTTATTTCAACAGAGCTTGCCCGTTAAATAGCTCCTGAACACGGGTGCGCAATTTGTAGTACGTACTATAAAATCAAAACATATTTTCATAAAATTAGATAATAAATAAAGACTTTTTTTATTTTAGTAAAGATTTTACGTACTTTTTTCTATGATCGGATGTTATGGGATTTTTTTTTTTTTTGTTAAACCGATTTTATGGGATATAATACAAATACAATTAGAGGATTGAACAAAATCAGAACAGATTTCTATACAATTAGATAATAAGAAAGAATTAGATAAGGAAAAGAAGAAATTAGATAAAGAATTTTGAATCTACCTTTTTTTAGTATAGATATATTTTACGTACAAATTTTGACTTCACCGATTTTATGAGATTTGTTTTGACAAAATAAAAAACGAACACTGAAGACTGTTTTTATTAACATTTACAATGTGTATTTAATGTTTTTTTGGCAAAATATTTTTTTTAAGTGTGATATATAAATATTAAAAATACTTAAAATATTTTATTACATCTATAAAAGCATCTAAAATATTCTATATTATTCACAGATAATGTTTGAAGCTAACAAAATTTTTCTAAACTACCCGTAAGGAAAATATGTCTAAAAATTCTTCATTTACCCTCCATATATGTATATATATATATATATAGAGAGCTAATGTGTAAAAAAATTTATACAAATAATATTTAAAAGTATCTAAAATATTAGTAATTAGACAGGTAAATTTAGATTTTTAAAAAATCTATATAGATAATGGATTTATAGTAGTAATTAGACTTTTACTTATTTACTTTTAAAGTTGTTACGATAGATGAGGGATGTGATTTATTTGACTCGTGGAGATAGAATTTTATAAGCTGGGTTATGAAATTTTCTTAAACTCGCCCATATCTATGCAATGAGTTTTTTAAGCTGGGTATATAGATTTAAAATTGTAAAAAAAAAAAAAAACTTTCATAAATCATTTGATTTGGTATTTTTGGAGAGTTTCATTAATTTAAAAGTGTAAAATAAATAAATAAAAAAAGTACAACTGAAAAAGGTACAACCAATTGTATGGAGAATTAAACTAAATCCAATTTTGTAAGATGCAATAAATATTGATTAGATTTTATATGTAAAATAAAATAAGAAATAACTGGAATAGTTTTACGTGTTGTAATATTTTATATTTAAAAAATTAAAAATATCTTCTTTTACGTATTGCATACCTAACATTTTAGAACTACATGGATATTTCTAAATTAATATTGCATACTCAATATTTTAGGAATTAATTAAATGCTAATTTGATTTACATACCAAAAATATTAGATGCATTAATTAAATGGTTGATAAAAATAGCAAAATCTTTAATTAGGGTTGACTATTCTACATACTACATTTAGTAAATAGTATAGCTTTTAATATAAGTATAGATTATTATTATTATTATTATTATTATTATTATTATTATTATTATTATTATTATTATTATTATTATTATTATTATTATTATTATTATTATTATTACTACTATTAAAATTTGGAAACAAATGAGACAAACATGTTTGCAAATGTAAAAAGCTTTACTATAAACCACAGTTTTGAGACCCGGACGGGCCCGGCCGGTCAACCGGGACCCAGTCGATCCGGAGTTGGAACCGTTCCGGGAGGATATTTGGATCGAGCAATAAAGGACCCGGTCAAAACCCGGCCAACCCTGCCTTGACCCGGTCAACCCGGGACATTGACCTGAATGGGGTGAACCCGGTTGACCCGACCCCTATATATATATATATATATATATATATTTTATTATAATTTTTTTTAAAATATTTTTAATTTTTTAAAAAATAGAACTATGTATATATATATTTATATGGTGAATATTTATTATAAAATTTATATTATTAACACTTTAATGTATAAAATTTATATGCAAAATAATTAATTTTGTTACTTTTATATATATTTATATGGCAAAATACTCTATACATAATATAAGAAAATTTAAAATTAATTATCCAGTTCAACAATTGACCCGGTGATTTAATCAGTGACCCAGTGACCTGCTCTCGTCGACACTCAGACCGGGTTTAAAAACTATGTTGTAAACAGTTTGTTTATAATTTTGAATTTGTTAAACAGGCCATAACAAGGAAAATTGTTTATTAAACGATCACAAACTCTAAAACCAAGTGCTCGACTGAATTCGAATATAATTACCTCTAAACATAATACGAATATTACCTCTAAACATAATATTATTTATGGTATCGCAAATTGTCTAGAGAAAACAATAAGAAGTTAGAAACTTTTCCAACTCCTATAATCCACCCAAACTCACTTAATACAAACCATGCCCTCGAGATATACATCAGTGAGAACTTTCTTCGACTGCAAAGACGCCTTCAATAACTTCACAGCCTAGGCCAAACAAACAAACATAATATAAATAATAAAACCAAATAGTTAATTGTTACATAGAAAATTGAATAATAACAAAAATAAAATAAAAATAAAATATTCACCTCATCTATGCCAAAGTCAACCACCTTCTCCTCCAAACAACCCACCTCCTTCACATTAAACTTGTTAAGCAAAGTGATGCTTGATATAGTTGACATTGGCATGACGACCAAATCATCCATCACCATGTACGTCACCACCTCCTTCACAAACCCCCCTTCCCCGGGCCCTTCCTGCTTCCGGGGTGGGCCCGCCACATAGGACAATCCTGTCTCCATTTTCCGGCCGCAGTGCGGACAGGATGCGAGCGGGTCGTCCGCCACGTACGTTAAGTTGCACGTGCACCTGTAGAATTTCCTCCCCCCGCCAGCTGGTGATGGCTTGCTTTCGAGCGGCAGCAGGGGAACGAATCCCGAGGTGGGCTTCAGGAGGGCTTCCTTGGACTGTTTCGGCTGGATGTACGACTCGTTTAGATTCTCTATGCTTTGGTAGAGGCCCGAGAGGGAGCCCGCTGTTTGGTGGTGCTTGAGGAGGTTCAGTATGGTGCCGACCGGGAGAGAGACGATGCAGAAGAGGAAGTCTATGAAGTCCTTGCCGGCCTCTGCAAAAAGGACCCTTTTGCCCTTGGTGTCGATCAACAGCTTTAGGGTTACTGATGCGCTGGAGGTTTCGGCCATGTTTGGTCGTTTCTTGTTATGGGCTATGGGAGGCTTGCTTTTTTGTGGTTGATCTGCTTATATATTTATTATGTTTTATTATTTTTGTAATATTTGTAAAAATCCCAAGTTAGAAGCAAGGGATGCTTGTATGAGTCCTTAAGAAAGGAACCCAATTAAAGGGAGGGGGAAATGTGAAGAATAAAAGGAAAATGATCAATGATATATATTTTTTTTCAATGTTTGCTTAAGCCGTACGCCCCTTGCAATCGTTATCTACTCTCTTTCCTTCTGCACTTTGGTCTCTATTTATTTTCAAGATATATGTTTCCCACCTTATCTCTTAATTTCCATGAAGAAAACTTCTCTTATTTTTTTTTTCGGTGCTGAGAAAACTTTTCTTTTATTTTCAAGATATATATTTCCTACCTTATCTCTTAATTTCCATGTAGAAAACCTATAGAACTCAATAACACAAGGAAATAAAATAACAATTATATATTACCAAAGTTAAAAATTAATAAATATATATGTACAAAAATAAAAACAGAAAAGCAAAATAAACATATTAAAATATGTTTTCAATAATTTCCTTTTTTTGCTTTTCTGAACAGAACAATATAAGTATTAATTACTCCTCTAAATAACACATTGAAATACATATATAAAAGTGCTAAGGAAGAGAAATGCAAATAAAGATAAAGTCGAGCACACGAAGACACTACAAGAATCGCTCTCCATCTCCCCCTTTTTGGGCAGAAAACATAGACTGTAGACGTCGTAGACGAGAGTAGTAAGGCCCGAGCTCGACTTTAGCTGTAGCTCCCTGTTGGATTATTGAATTTTATGGATTTTTCGAATATTATTTTGCATTGTTGTTATTATTATTATTATTATTATTATTATTATTATTATTATTATTATTATTATTATTATTATTATTAATTACCTAATTGTTATTAATTGCCTATTATTAATAAACGAATATTGTGTGATATATATATATATATATTATCCGGTTTAATTTATTTTATTGTTGCGATCGAGTCAAGCATCATTTTAATTGTTGAACCTTGGGGAACCGGCCCGAGCGCCAAGCCCGAAACCGCGCCCGAGCCGCCGGCTCTCCCTCTTTCTCTTTCTTATTTTGCAAGACTCTTAACCTAAGGCTTTATATATATTATTGTGTGTATTATTTATATAAGTGCTGGTTGATTTATTTATTTATTTATCGTTGTTCGGATTTTCGGTTTAATCGCGTAAGCCAAATTTTTATCCATTTTGATTTGTTTTCGAACCGTTGTGACCTGAACCTCAAGTATGCTTATTTCATACAACTCTTTAGTCATCTCGGTCCAATTTAACTCATCAAAACCGACCCTTTGATAAGCCGAACCCGCCTCGCTCTCTTTTGGTCTCCATTTCTGGGATTAATGAATTTTTATTCAAAATTCAAATACACCTTAAGCTTGATTTTGGAAAGATCCTTGACCAGCCATATAAATCTTTTTAAACGGCCTCCTTGACCATATTTGGTGTCCATCAAACCCTATTGATATAGCCATACTGTCGTATAACGGTTTACACTATCAAGGGTTCCAGAATTACCGAGTCGACTTAGCCAAAGCCGACTCCTTCATCATATTCCCTATAAATATCACCAATTAGGGGTCCAAATACCCTCCGGTCGACTCCTACATGTCGACTAAGTATAAGTCGATTTCCTGCGAAGCGACGGTCAAAAGCATATCAAGATCCATTAGCGATTGAGTATGAACCAGTCGACTCGAGTCGATTGGATCAAGTCGACTGAAGAGGGCTGGAAGCCCATAAATCTCGACAGCTCTGATACACTTCAGCATATCGAAGGGAAGCTAAGGATAAGGAA